TACAAGGACCACCATATGTAGCTTATGGTATCCCCCTAGAGGAAAAGAGGCTAATAAAAATACATCCCCCCATCAACACACCCTCCTTTGCTTTACATAGAAATTTATGATGAAAATGGAAAACATACAGTTAATATAAATGACAAATAGGTTGAGGTGCAGAGACTGCCCTTTAGTTACAGAATACAAAGACATAAGACTTGGTGTACTTTAACCAAGGATCAAAGAAATTCTGAAGGAAAGCAGTAAAACAGGTCATATGAAAAAAGGAAATTACCTTGGAAATTAAAAATAAAATAATGTAAAATTAACATAGATATATTTTAGAGGCACTTAAGAGTAATAGGCTTTTTAAGAAATAGACTATCACTATTTTAAGTGTGCTTTACTGGGATTTTAGTTTAGAAGTAAGAAAGCTTACCAATAATCATAAGTATGTTTTAAAGTTAAAGGTTAATGAAATAATTATTGGTATGCTTTAAAGTTAAAAGTGAATAATAGGTCAGGAGACATGTAGTCAAGTTGCATAGCCTAGCACCTAGTGATTGAGGTAAAAATGTAAAAGCTAAGGTTATAGGAAAATATTTTAAACAATATACTCAATATCTGAGGTAATCAATATATGTCAGAAAAGAGTGTAACTCATGAAAATTATGTAACCAAAGAAGTTTCACCCTTTGAAGCTATCCATTAAATACCTGAAAAAAACACCTGCAAAAAAGGTATGAAAATAAAGGCCCCTTTAGGGGCAGCAGATTTTTTTCTGGGGGCTGCTCAGAACTTGCAACCTGTTGTCCCAACTCTTCTTCTTTCGCTGACACCACTCCTCCTTCAGGACCCCTGGGTTCCCCACCAAGGCTGGACCCTGGCAATAAGTAGTCTGGCATGTGTTGATACTCTTATAATCCCAGAGGCTCAGAAGGTGAAGGCAGAAGGATTGCAAGTTCAAAGCTGGTCTCAGCAACTTAGGAAGACCCTAAGTCATTTAGTGAGAATTTCTCAAAATAAAAAAAATTGCAGGGAAATGGATGGCACTAGAGCAGATTATGCTTAGTGAAGCTAGCCAATCCCTAAAAAACAAATACCAAATGTCTTCTTTGATATAATGAGAACAACTAAGAACAGAGCAGGGAGGAAGAGCAGGAAGAAAAGATCAACATTAAACAGATACATT